ACATTTCACGCTCCTGAGCAAAATGAATTCTTCTAGGGTTTTCTGTTTTCAGCTTTGCAGTCATGAAGTATTTGTTTTCAGGCATCATCCAAAACTTTGGAGGCTGATTTGCTCCATTCCTTAGCTGGGGTGGCTTCCTGGCAGGACTAGAGAAAAACGGGAGATTTGTCTCCCTCTACAAATGTATGAGAACCTCTGGAATGAGCCCGGGATGGAGAGATAGGAGTGCCTGAACTCAAATGCTTTCTCTATTATTGATTTCCTTGGTGGTTGTGATTAAACCATTWAAGTGTCTGTGCATTGGTTTCCTCATACATAAATCAAAATGCCACAGTTTTCTACTTCTTAGTGATGCTGGGAATCCTGAATATTCCCTTTTGTAGAAAGAGCTTTGACAGGAACAGCAATAGGAAAAGTGTTGCACATAAAAGCTGAAGCTGAGGTTGCCATCTGACTTTCCTAACAGGCAGTATAGATATGCACTGTATGGAAAGATCCTGGGGACTCTGTGTCTCCAGGAAATCTGAGACTCAGCAAGCTCTGGGGTTTCTTCAGGGATGAGGAGAGCCAGGAACTTGACCTAGGTACTGGTTTGCTGGGTTTCAATAGGTTTCTGTTCCTGTACTCAGCTGAGATGTGCTGATGGCTGGTTTTTAAACAGGTTTCTGTTCCTGTACTCAGCTGAGATGTGCTGATGGCTGGGTTTTAAACAGGTGTAAGTCTGAGACACAAATCTGGCTTTGCAATGTGGTGGTGATGGTAACTGCTTAATGTGCTGGGTGTGCCTGCTAGTGATTGGTCAGAAAAGGGTAACATTTTCCCATTTAAAGTGAGGGGTGACTCTCTTCGTTCAAAGAAAATGTCTGTGTTTGAAGATYCTGAGTTTTGCATCTATTCAGGTGTTTTCTGTGTATCTTGAATATGTTAAGATTTAAGTCCAAATGTGGAATTTTGTACAGGTCTTGGATCTTTGAAAATCCCATCTACTGCAGAGAATTTAGTTATGTGAATGAATAAGGAATCAAATGATGGGTGTAGATTAATATTAACAAGTGGAATGGAAGATTTGATTGCTTATGTGGGCTAACCTGCTTCCAGAGTCTGATTTTTGTAAATGTATTTAGAATTAACTGAGTTAATAATTAAATCTTGCAAATAATATAAAAATCAATAGATTTCAAACATATCCCAAATACTGTTTTAAGTAAATGTTATTTTATGAAGTTGCATTGCTAYCCTTTACTAACTAAATCATCAATTCAATTAAATATCACTGACTGACTATATACAGGATTTCACATCCTGAAAAAATCAGTTTGATCTATTGTTTCACGTAGCATAAACCAAGGATCCTTATTGACTCTCAGTTGGGTCTTAAGTTTAGCTGTTCCAGGTTCTCTGTGTTGCTGTGCAGAAGCTCCTTGGTGCACTGCCACTATTTAAGGAATATAAAAGATATAAATATCACAGCGCAATCTGTGGAACTTTCAAAACTGCAGCACAAGGGCCACGWGCTAACAAATAGCAAGTGGTTCACTCCTCCCTGGCCTTCAGGTGTCACCAGACTGTGCCTGAAAGCATAAAGAAATACTGTGGGACCTGCAGTCTACTCAGGGCTTTTCCTCCTCATTCATTGTGGAAAGAACCTATATCCCTTTACCCCCACCATGCTCTCTGGTGATTTTCAGGTGCTTTTTGGTCACAGCTGTTGTGTATGTCAGAGCATCCTAACAGCTGGGACAGTATGGAGAGGCCGTGCTTGGTGAGAAACTTTTCATGTGTCCTGACAGAAGCTCTGGTGTTGCAGTTTGGGAGAATACAGAGTCAAGCTCTGCAGTGCACAAATTCTGCTCCAGCTGCTGAAGCCTTTCATGGGACTGCTAAACCACATGGCCACTGGCAAACTGTTGAGGAATCTGTTGGAGAATGCAGTCGTAGAGAGTGTGTTGACCTTGGCAGTTGTCCTTATGAGACACAGCATGGACAGGCATGAATTTTGATTTCACAGTGAACCCCTTCACAGAGAGATTTTAGTTTGTGGTGATCTGCAAATCTGAATGCCTGTCCAGAGCAGCCACAAGAGGAAGGAAAAACCCCCTAACGTGTGAAACAGAATTAGCTGATAYTCTCTCAAGAATAGGAAGATACAAAGATGGATAAAGTACAGAATCCYATCTGTAACAAGGGTCAGCAGCAGATTACTGGAGGAAACAGGCAGATGACATAGTTGAATGCGGAGGTGGATTGATATTAATGTTGACCCTATATTGAAAGCAGTGGTACAAGGAGGAGTAATACCTCTTTGAATTTGCTCTGCTCTGTTTTGATAAGTCTGCAGTGGTTGCCTTAAATTACTTTTTAGATTCTAATCTATTCTTTGCCTTCTCCTTTGTACTAAGTAGACCAGTGAGATTTTATCTAAGTGGTTGAGAAAGTGTAAATGAGYCCTATTCGTATGTCTTGTATTGAGTGAACAATAACCCGCTGTGTCCYCCTTCACAAATGTGTATTCAGTGCTTGTCACATCTTCAGCTGTGGGGAAAAGGCTCACTCACAAATCCTGTGTTTGACTCCTGCCCCCCGGCTGTTTGCTGGGAATTACCCACAGGTATATGGAGCACGTGTCTAACTTGCTTGTAAGCAGTTTCTTCTGATGGACCAGGAGTGTCTAGGCAGGGGAATTACCAATGTTGGGAGAGGGTTGTTAAGTGCCTGGCTCTGGCTTTCAGAGCTGCAGTCAGTAGCAGCCCTCTGTGCTTAGGCTGATTGAATACTGACACAAACACAAACATTTGTTGGTGGTGGTTAAATGCATTCAGAATAACATCAAAGAACCGAATAGTTTGGAAGGGAACTCCAGAGGCTGTGTAATCCAACCACTAGCTCAGAGAAGGTCCAGTTAGAGGAGGCAGGTCAGGACTGTGCCTAATCAAGATTTTAGTATGTCTGAGGACAGAGATTGGAGTCTCTCTGGGTCCTTCCTAGTGTTTGACCATTGTCAAGATGAAACACTTTTTTGTACAAAATGAGAATGTTTTGTATTCAGCTGTGTCTGCCTCTCATCCTTCTGCAGAACTCTGAGAAGAGTTTGGCCCTGTCTTGTCTATGCTCTTCCATTAAGTCATTGAACAGATCAGTGAGATTTCCCTTGAGCTGTCTCTCCCTGAGGCAGAATGAGCCCAGTTCCCTCAGCCTCTTCACACACATCACCTACCCCAGTACCTCGAGTGTGGTGGCAGCTCTTTGTTGGACTCACTCCAGTATGYTGAAACTATTTTTATATGAGGGAGCTCAGTACTGGACAGAGCACTCCAGATGTGATCTCACAAATGTCARTTAGGGGAAGGATCACTCTTCTGGTTCTGCTGTCTGCATCCTTGCTAACACAGCYGAGGATGCAGCCTCTGCTGAAAGGGCAGGCACGGCTGACTTGTGCTCAGCTTATCTGCTGGGACCACAGGTCTTCTGAAAAGCTGCTTTTGACCTTGTTGGCTCCCAGTGTGTGCTGCTCCATGGAGTAATTCGGGRGGCTGTTTGCTTGCAGGAGGATATGGTTCTCTTACTGAAGTGTTTGTACAAGCACACATTGCTGCTGCAAGTCTTTGTTTAAAGCAGACCCATCACTTGAGAATGATATATGTACAAGTTGCAATACTGTGCTATTTTGCCACCACTGTTTTATGCTGTGAGGGCACAGATTTCACCATGTAGTTATTTTCCAAGGATGGCTATAACAACAAGTATTTTCCCTTTAGTCTTGTACAAATAGATTCTGGCTAATCTTTTTTAGGATTACTAAATGAGACAAAATGAAGCAGAAAAGTACTATTAATGTCAATGGAAATAGCATCAGCCTTTGCCTTATGCAGTGATTTGTAAGCAATGATAGCTCTGCTCATCCTCGCTTTCACAGCTGGGAGTCGGAAAGGTGCTGTGATGTGGAGTGGGGGGTGGGATCTGTACAGACTCCACTGCAAGTACCATTTTCCCCCAGATGGCACTAGCCAGCCCTCGTGCAAGCTGTCCTGTATTTCTTCCACTGGATAAAATCAGGGTATGCAGCCGGCTCAAGTCACATAAGCACAATACAACACTCTGCTTGACTGGAACGCCAGATACTGGGAAGCAAGCCTCTGGCTCACACGAAGAATTTTTATGGTATTCAAATGCTGCTTCCAGTTGCTAAGAAATTATTGCAGTGGCTTTCATTAGTGTATATAAGATTTTATTTCTTTATGAGGAAATAWTAAATGCCATGTGCTGTGGATAATTCCCCATGTTTATTTTTGCTGTTTGAAAAAGATGTGCTTAACTAGTACAGATTTCCTGGATAAAGTGATCAGACAGGCAAAGTTCTCAGATGTGTTTACCAGCAACATTACTTTTATCTATGAACAAAATGTTTTGTGTGGACTTGCTTCATGCTTTCAGAGAAGGAATCTGTAGGACACTTTTCTCTTGTTTGCTTTGTCTCTCATTCTGTCAAAAAAAGTGGGGCAGCTCTGTTAGGATTATATTCTGGTGTCTCTCTTAAATTTCCTGTCAGGTTAAGCTAAGTTCAGATGGCACTAGTACTGAATCTAAATACTGGTCTTTGTGAAATGGTTTTTTTGTTTTTTTTGTTTTTTTTTTAATTTTTTTTTCATTGGCACATATGTGGTGGTTGTGTTAATAGTAGAGTTTTCCATCCTTCTCCTAAAAAAGGATGTGACCAGCCCTTAAGTGTGCTTTTCCTAGACTCCACTGCATACTGTTGAATGGTCCCTATGGTGACAGTGCTGCAGTGAAACTAAAAACACAGCACTGAAATTCATCGCTACCAGGACCCTGCAGTTAATTCTCGTGTAGCCATACTACAAAAGGAGCTCTACAGTTACTAGCGTGCCTTGATATTTAGCTCTATAGTTAGCATTGCCGTGGGATGCTGGAATTTCATTTTAATGAAATCTTAAATCTCTTTTTGGCTGACTGCTGAATGGCTCTTTTGTTTACCTTTGCAGCGCGCGATGAGAACATGGCCACGTTCCGTGGCTCCGAATACCTTTGCTATGACCTGTCACAAAACCCCATCCAGAGCAGCAGYGATGAGATCACCCTGTCCTTCAAGACGTGGCAGCGCAACGGGCTCATCCTGCACACGGGCAAGTCGGCCGACTACGTCAACCTGGCCCTGAAAGACGGTGCGGTGTCCCTGGTCATTAACCTGGGGTCCGGGGCCTTTGAGGCCATTGTGGAGCCCGTCAATGGCAAGTTCAATGACAACGCGTGGCACGACGTTAAGGTGACACGCAACCTGCGGCAGGTAATGGTCAAGGGGAGAAAACGCTGGGGAGAATTTGGTTTTGTTTTATCGGGACAGGCAGATGGGAGAGAGTAATGGAGAAATGGGGAAGTTCAGTGGTATTGCTAGAGTTTTTCCACCTATTCTGGATCTTGGTGCCAAAAGGACAGTGAAAAAAATGTTAGTTGATGGGAATTTATCCCTGCTGCAATATCTTCATTTCCACTTTATTAATTTTATGTTTTTTTCTCAGTTTGATTTAATAATAAAAACTTGTGGCATAACTTTACTTTCATCTCCCTTTTCCTTTCTTCTTTTTCTGTTCTCCCTTTTTGATTTTATTATTTCCTTAATAATGATTCAATCTTATCAGTAATATTCTTGTTACATTTAATTACTGTGGGAACAGAGCCTATTTCCAACAGCCAACGCTCTATACCTCTCTCCTTTTTCTTTCAGTTTGRTTAATTGGTTTAACCATTGCCATGATGTCACAATTCTAATTCTGAAAGTCTTTTGTTTTTCTTTTCCTTTTCTTTTGTGTGTGCATATGAGTGTGCAGGTGTGCAGCCTGGTGGGTATGTGTGTAATTATTTTAACTTTATAGCTTTGGAATTAATTGGCTGGAGTCTCTCTGAGTCTTCTTGATTCTCTGTTCTTCTTTTCTTCTTTTTGTTTTTTTCCCCTTCTTTCTATAATGAGAATCTACTTTATTTCTTGTCTCTGCCTATGAGACTCTTCTGGCTGTGAGGACTGGAAAAGTGGAAGGATCAAAAAACCCCAAGCAAATTCAGATCAATCCAGCACACTACAATTCCACTTTGGAAAAGTTTTTCTGATTTTACCACTGTAATTTTGCACATCGACATGCTGCTTTTCCTAGCAGACAACTGTATCAGATGATCAGCTGTATCAGGTGATCAACAGACACCTGTATCAGGTATTTGGTAGTAGGCTAGTCTTAAAATCCTGAAGCCTTTCTCATGAAATATAAATTCAGACATAAATACATAATATAAAATTAAATAACCTTGCTCTGAAAGCTGGTAAATACATCAAGTCACTAAGGCCCATCCACTGCATGATAAATGAGGTTTACACGGTGAATAAGAGCTATTTGGTGCCTTGCTGATTGGTGGAGGAGCAGAGATAACTTGTAAACTAAGATTTAAAAATCAATTTGTGAATACAGTGTGACCTCTTTATTTTCTCATTAATGTCAATATTAGCACAACCTTTAATAGCTTTACCTAAGTTTATACAACATAATTTGAGGTCACATTTTACAGTAGCAAAGATCAAATGTGTCCGTCAGTATAGGATAATCAGTGCCAGGCATCAGAAACAGTCTCTACTAGTAGATGTCAGTAGGTAATTTTTCTGTTGGAGAATTTCATGACATTCTTTTCAATATTTGGGTTTGGGGATGAAGATTTTTATTTGTCTTTCCCATTTAAATCCCGGTATTTCTACATGCTTAGGGCTGAYGAAAAATGTGTCATCAAATTTTCATGAGACTACGGAGTTCTCACCTATGGAAAAAATCAATCTGTTTTCAATAGTTCTTATGCAGATGCAAATTCAATTTCTYATCCAGTGGATGGGTCTTAATGATCCTATTTTGTTCATCCATACAGCAGAGGAAGATGCACCAATTGGTCCAGGTTTGTCAGTCTGGGAAAGTCAGAATATATGGCTTTATTTGATGTGAGTTTTTTTTTTATTTTAAGTAGTTTCAGAACAGCTGGTCCTTGAATATCTCAGCAGAGSTTATTGGCCATTTTAGTTAATCATACTTTCTGTTTTTCGCTGGAAAATAATTTCAGTGGGCAAATRTGCCAGAAGCAAAATGAATCCTTGCTTCATGGCAGGATTGGTTTGGATCTTGAAGAAGCTGAATGTGAAGGATCACAAACAAAATTGTGGATGGGAAGCTGTCACATTCTTTTCTCAATGCTTTAGCCAGTGATTTTCAAATTGGCCCATAGAAGTGAACCAAGAAAATGGGAGTCTATGTCTTTTCATATTTGATGAGACCAGGGCAGCACTTTGGCGATTATTAGAAAGCATGTGGTCCCTTGCCAATTAAGCAGCACCTTAAATGTTTAATCCTCCTGATCTCTTCACTGTGAATGGTTTTAAGGGATCCTGAATTCTAAAAGTATCCAATTTGAGTGGGCAAGAGAGACGCTGTTTTAATGAGATGGATGTGCTCTTTCCAAAGAAAGGCCAGTCTTCAAATCAAATTATTTTTAATTAGCAGTGGTGATTTGGGTTCCAATTCTACAGTTAAACATGACTGAATACAACTCAACCAATAAATATCAGTAAGGCTGAATTTTTTTTTAGTCACCTTTTCCCTGGATGCTTGCATTTTAACTTTTGATCTGTCTCAAAATTAAGACGTTGACCCAGAACCTAAAGCTGCCCAAAAATTGGAATTGATGAGGCCTTGAGGCAAAGCAATTGTGATAGTCCCAAAAGCTGTCATCCAATATAATTTAGTATAACCTAAATTATTTTGTATGTAAAAGATTATTGGCTGTCTTTCCTGACATAAATTCACCTGTAATATTGAAACTTGACAGGTCTTATTTCCAGCTATGCTCATGTTTCCTAAAAAAAACCCCACTCCAAAACCAAACAAAAAAAAAAAATCCAGCAAAATGAGTTGCCTTTGAATGTTTTGAAGCTTTATAAGAAAATCAGTAGCCTCCTTTTAATTAGTTGAAAATATTGCACTGGAGATAAATATACTTCTCTCTAAAATAAACTTAAAAAGCAATAATTTAGAAATTCCAAGAATATTATCTAAATCTAAGCAATTCCAACTAAACGGACTATCAGCAGCTTCAGGATGCCATCTAATCTTTTCCTCTGCCTTTTTAAGGGCTAAGAGAAAGGGGAGGAGGATTTGCATAATTTTTGGCTGTTTCTAGAATTAGAGTGGAACTTTAAATAGTTGGACTTTTGCCCAGTACTTTTTGGAATTGTTAAATGTTTTGTAGCTAAGCTAGGAGAGTACTAAGGGCTGCTTTTTTTTTAGATCAAATGACTATAACAGCAGTTAATCTCCTTAGAGACAAACCAAGTGAATGCGCAGATTCCCTTGAGTARTGATTGTTAATGTCAAAGCAAATCTCCTTGTTTATTTATCTTATTATTTCAGTTAAAACTAAGCCCTCTTTCTGCCTTGTGAGAACCTTTACTTAGAAATAGGATCATGGCTGCATTTTACTGGGGCTTTCAGAGCRTGTTTGGGGCACTGTGATCTGGTGGGAGGAGGAGGAGAAGAGACTGAAAGTCAGACTTGTTGTGTCTGTCTTCATGTCTTCTGCTGACACTCCATCTTGTTTTTAGCATGCTCTTCTCCCTGTCCCAAATTTCAACTCCCTCGTTCRTAAAAATAAATTTACTAATGCAACATTTTGCTGTAAGAATTCCTTGGTGAGGAATTCAGGAGTTTGTGCTGATTTTACCCAAGTACAGAATATGATATTTGTTTAATTCCCATTGGAAAATAACCTTGGGACTTTATGCTCAATGCCACAAAGTCTTCACAAACTTACATCCCTAGTCAATGTACAACTCTGAAGACTGCAAGCAGATGGTTTTTACATGAGGCACTGTAGATCTTGTGTAATTTAGAGTAGTTCTTGCCAGCTTCAATCACAATGGAACAAGGACCTGGAGCTTCCACAGGCTCCCCTTCCCTATTAACACTGAAGCTAATCACAATGCAAAATCTGCTATAAAGATATTTAGTTCCTCARCTGCTAAAAAGCAAATAAGAAGCAATGTGTAAGTTCAAACAATTGGCATCTGCATGCCTTGGGACAGGCTAAAGAAGCATCTGTAAAGTTCTGCTAAACCAAACTGACTGGTAAATTCTCCTAGCTTCTGTGTAACAGAGATGGAGTGTAACAGGAGGGATGCTAAATCCTGTCAACCTTCTGTCTTCAACCTGGACACAAACAACACAATTCTYGCTACACACTTCCTCGACACGTTTCTCCTGCACTAGGAGAGGTTCAATTCCTCTATCTTGGATGACAGAAGTGAGCTACAGGCAAACAGCCAAACACAGGCATTGTCATGTGCTCCTCCTGAAAGTCACAAACTCAGCTGCTGTAAAGAAACCAGCAGACTGGRAAACTTGGAAGGAAGACACAGAGTCTTGGGCTCATCTTCATCTGTATCCCCCAGCCAAAGGAAATACTGKCCTGCTTGTGATACTCTGCAACACTTGAGGGTAGTGAGGCTTGGAAGAGGAGCAGGCATGTAGGTGGGTGGTGTGGGTGGAAGAATGGAGTCTTGGTTGGGTTTGTGCTGAAGGGGCAAACTGTGTGATGTGTGCTGAACCGTGTACCTCTCTGTGAGTAACCTTATTTGAGGGAAACACCTTGATGGRCATTTGAAGAGTAAGTATTGCACTGTTTTAATTTTACTTCTGGATAATGTGTCCGAGGGKTGAAGTTAATGACTAATACCAGGGTGGGAAGAGTAGGCAGCCCCCTCTTTCTTTACAGTCTAGATGGCATGGTTCCCCATAGAGTCCTGGTCATATTGTCCTCTTTCTCACTTTGTGTGTCTCAGGTGCCCCACGCCTTTTTTTGARAAACTAACACTAGACCATTCATGCAATGTGTCATTTTTACTAACCAACTAATGTACTAACACCCTAACGACTCATCTTTGCTTTTAGTTATTTTAATTAACAATCGTTCTGTTCACGATTTTTTAATTTCCTTTCTTCCCCCTTTTCCGCAAAGCACTCAGGCATTGGACACGCTATGGTAAACAAACTACATTGTCTGGTAGATATCATTCTTATTGTCTCTTTTTTTGGGTTTGCCGTGTGTTACCTGCCTTCTCCTCTCCCTACCCGCTCTTTTCCCCTGCTCCTTTATACTTACTGCTTCCTTTAATTTTATTCTAATTTCATTAAAAACACTTTTTTCCCCCTTCCTTTTTTTTTCTTTTTTTTTTTTTTTCCTTCTTTTTGAATAGAAAAACGAGCATCAAAAGCAACTAACACAACTATTCTGGAAATGGGGTTTGGACATATCTTTCATTGTTTTCTTCACCTCTGTCTTTAGTCCCTCTTTTCCTATCTAGTGATAAATTGTTGGGCTTTTTTGTCCCTTCTTTTTGAATTTAGTTTGCTTTTGCTTTTGTTTTTATTTGGCTTTTTTTAATTGGCTTTTAGTTTGCTTTTTTTTTTTTTTTTTTTTTTTTTTTTTTTTTTTTTTTTTTTTTTTTTACTGTGAAGGTTTCTAGATCAGAACCATTGCAGGGCCTCTAGTCCGTGGTGGTGAAGGCTCTCTTTTTCTCTCACTCTTTTGTTGTGGCAATGGCTATTACAGGCAAACTGGCCAGAGTTGTCCTCTTTCTCCTGATTTTCCCCCACTTCCGTCCCTCTGCTTTCTCTCCTCCTTCTCCCTCTTGCTCTCTGTCTCACTTTCTCTCTCTCTCTCTGACCTCTACCTGCGTGGCCAACAGGAGCTCAGCCGGTGTTTGTTTCAGTACACACTCTGCATGGCATGTCCACGTCTGGTGACTCGCCCGCCTCCTCCTGGCCTCCATCTGTTTTCCTCCATCTTCCCTTGAAACCACTAACAACATCTAAGCAAAACACATAAAATTCACTTCCTCCTCTCCCACCCTCTCCTTCTGTCACCTTTCACCTTCCATGTGTTTGTGGTTAGAGATTTTGGGGACATTTCTGTTTGGTTTTGAGTTTTTTTTGTTATGGCRTTTGTTTGGTATTTTTATTTTTGATTGCATGTGAGTGTGAAATTGTTTTTCCTCCCTTTTCTTCTCCTTTCTTTTTTGGTTTTTCCCTGCCATCTTTCTGGGCCTCAAATATATTGGCATGACATGTCAAAGTGCAGTGTGTGCACGCTTTGTATCCTCTTTCTTTCTCATRTCTGCTTCTATCATATTTATTGGTGCATTGATTTCTTTTGATTTATTTTATTTTGATTTATTTTCTGCTTATATTTTGGTTATGGGTTAGTTCGTAATTTTTTTTCAATTTATTTTTTCCTTTTTTTTCTTTTAGTTTTTTGTTTTTGTTTGTGGTGGGTGGTGGGTGTGTGTCTCTCCAGGTACATGGCATGCACATCCATAATGTATCGAAAGTGAGATCCCTCTCCCCCTATCCCTGAATGCATGACCGTCAGTGTGCCGTGAGCAAAAGAAACTTAAAAAATAAAAAATACCAACCTTGTCTTCATTAGTGTTTTTTTTTTTTTTACTAACAACCATAACTAACTGTAATCATTAAAATAAATTCTAATTATTCATAAAATCAGCTAATAAGAGAAATGTCTTTCAAGTACAGTTATATTTTCTGGCCTGAATTGATGGAAAGCATCTGGATGGATAGGATGCTGGGTAAGCCTGAGAGTGCTGATGCACAGGAAAGGAGAGAAGCAGATGCTGAAGCATTTCTCTGTGGGAAAATCAGACCAGAAAATAGAGCTCGACTGAAGTTAAAAAAAAAAAGCATACCAAATCTCAACAAAATCCTTAATAAAACTGGCATAAAATTGTAGGGGAGGTAAGTTGTTCTGTTCAGGATTGTAAGGTCATTGCTGGGATTTTCTTTGTCCGTTGTGTCCCTCAAACAGGTGACAATCTCTGTGGATGGCATCCTTACCACCACGGGCTACACACAGGAGGACTACACCATGCTGGGCTCGGATGACTTCTTTTATGTGGGAGGGAGCCCCAGCACTGCTGATTTACCTGGGTCTCCAGTAAGCAATAACTTCATGGGCTGCCTCAAAGAGGTAACTATTTCAAATTAATTCTTATTTCTGTGCTTTTGATTTGTTAAAGTCATCACTCTTTTCTGCCTTACACAATGAATGTTTAATTTTATACTGATAACTGCAACAGCTCTGCAAGGAAAAACTTGTCATTCAGGTGGACACAAGGCTGGAAAAGCGTGAGTTTAAGGACAAAAGTGCTTGGATTACAGAAAAAATGCTTGTGATAGTAGGAGAGGTGACTTCTCTAAACCATTAGCCCTTCAGATGAAAGCATTACTGTCTTCTAGGCACTGAGGCAATAGCCATTATAAAAAGACAAATGACCTCTGGTTACTAAGTAGCATTTTGAGATGAAAAAATCATAAYCAGAAGCTTATTTAGGATACATTTTAAGGTTCTGGATTTCACCTAGGAGTATAGTTAGATCTGAATTTCCCAGGAAGATACAGAAATAGAATAAAACAGAAAAATGAAAGTTGAAGATAGAATAAAAAGTGTAAATTTTGCAAGGAGAGTGCRGTGTGAGGGTGTAATGGAGGTGTGGCAATCATGTGGCACATGGACATCAAGTGTTATGATTATTGAGAGATGTCTCTCCRCTAATTAAAGTGCAAATGAAACCATATGCTGAAATCAGTAGTGTGGATTTTATTGGACAATAAAATGTGAGGTAGAGAGATAGAAAGAAGCAGAAAAGTGAGAAACAGATTAGCAGAAGAGAGTCACCACCCACACATCCAGTGGTGGCCTGTTGGTCCTTCTTCACCTTGGGCTTCTGAGTCGTGGGGTCCCTGAGGTCACTCAAAACTTTTCAGTACTTATATATCTTTGCAAACCAAAGAATGCTCACTGGTTACACACTTTTATTTTATTGATTAAATGATTGCCTCACTTCTAATGCTAGTTAGTCCCATGCTCAGTTCTTTCTGGTTTTTTTTTTCAGTTGGTGGGTTCCTTGGGTTTCTGGGTTGTGAGTTGGTGGTCGCAATCTCCTCTGATGGAAGGAGAGGCCTTTTACCAGTCTGAGCTGATTCAGCACAGACACTTCTTTTGGGGCCCGTAAATTCAGCTTTCTTTATGTCCATTATCAGTTATACATTCTTCTCTCATAGCTTTGTTTACCTTCCCCTAGGCTTGAGATAACACTTGCACAATAGAACCGCCTCTATCTTATCGCAAGTTCTCGGTCATGGTGGTTTAATTTAAGTCCAAACTCCCGGTATCCATGGAAGCATATTTGGGGAGGGGGTTGGAATGTGGGGGTGGCCTTCAGTGCTCATAGATTCCATCTGTCCCATCACTTGGGGTGATCTGTGTTTGAGCAGTGATATGTGCAGGAGARGTTGCTTTTTTACAAAGTGGGAAGTTTTGTCTGGATGCATTACCCAGGATGTGCTGACCAGATCTCATCTCTGCCTGGAGTTAGTGCCATCCTGTCACTCACTTTTGTACTTATCTCATGGCAAAGTCATTCTGTGGCCGTAACAGTGTTTGAGATAGGCAACTGTGATCCTTAAATCCTTACACTTTGTTGGTAAGTTTGTGCACTTGAGTGGCTGCATTGGTCAGGAAGAGCTAGCTGGGTCTGAAAACGGTGTTGTCTCATTGTGGCTGGCTGCACTTGTCACACAGTTCATCTACAACTGTGAGAAAATTCACACATGGATAATACAGATTGGACTGCCTGGCTAGCAGCAGAGATCAGAATACTGATCCTTGGGRAAAAAATCCCAAACAAAACAATTAAAAAAAAGATGAGTTCTCAGTCCAAATCCCAAAATTGGTAGTTTAAACAAACAGTTTAGTTTTGGTGCTGCCTCATAGTCATCTTTTGTCTTCTTTCTCCTCTCTTCTAATATAATTTGCGATTATCACTGTGATTAATGGGGATACAGATATTAATGTGTCCACAATGTGTTATTAAAAGTTTACTGAAAAACAAGCTTAAGTTTTCTGTCAGACAGTTTCTTAGCTAGCCTGGAATAGGAGTTTCTTGCAAGAGTTTTCTCACTAAGGTTGTGATTCTGAAGTAATGCTGTTTAYCATAGGGTGTGACTTCGTGGATATAATTTTATTTGCAGCCCAGAGGGTTGTCACAATGTCCTCTTTGTATGAACATTTAATATTAGAGGGAAGGCAGAGCTGAGATTTCATAGAGGAACCATGAAAACAGCAGTGCTGAGCTAGATGTTGTTCTGTGGCTGTAACTGCCTTGACAAGTCATCATCCTACTGATGCTCGACTCGTGGTGTCAGGGTTTGTATGTTTTGTGCCAGTCCTCTGATGTGAGGAAGAGCTGTCAAGAGTCTGAAGCTGCTCTCCTGCCTGACCTCTGAAGGGATGCACATATGCTGGGGAAGAGYGTGTGAGCATTGTGTATAGGAAATGAAACTTCACTGCTTGAATGCAAACTGTCAGAGATCAAATCCTCCTGGTTACATCTGTAGAGCCTTGGGCCTGATTTTCCTAGGCACTGAGCATCCCAGTTTGATTGAAATCAGGAAAAGATACAGCTTCTTAGTGTCTCTTTAAATCAGGATCTTAATTTTATTTATGGATGCTATGAACATAACACTTAGCAGAGGCCATTTTTATGTGCTCTAAGTCAAGCCAATGGAGCAAACAAAGCAATGACAAGAAAATCTCAGCAGCTTTATTATTTATATAATCATTTGTATTCTATTAGCTTGCACAGTGTGCTAAGAGCTGCCAACACCATCGTCCCAGGCTCATAATGCTCTGAGAGAAGAAAAACTCAAGCAACCACTTAAAAATAAGAGGAAGAAAACAGATAATCAGAATGTGCTTTGTAATCTTCACTTGACTAGGCCGTGACAGGAGATGTGTATGAGCAGATGTCTTGACTTGCTGGCTGCTTTAGAACTATAGACTCCTGAAAAGCAACCAACTTATAGCAGTGGTGGAGTAATGCTTTCAGCCAGCTTTGATCCTGGAGGAGTCAGAGCTGAGTTAGTGCAKTGCTTGAGTGCTTAAAATGTGTCTGGATCCAGAACCAGGTACCAAGAACTTTACTTGGCTTTCTGCATAGCTTGTCAGCATATGTCATAAATTAGTCCCTGTAGCTTATGTTTTTTCCTCTGTGGCCAAAAAGGATGCTCAGTCTCTCATTAGCCAGTACTGGAGGAGCTCGGGTTTATACGAAAAGTATGCTAGGATTAGAAAGTTAGATGAAGGGGTAAGATAGATTAATAGCCAATACTGTTCCTCTCAGTTTATGCTTTCTAGTAGAGCAATGCTCTTCTTTCATAGTAAAGTCCAGCTGTGTAATTGCCTGTTACCAGAGACATGGCACACCCCTGAGTGGGTTGCACTGTTTGTAATGGTGGAGAACATCCTGCCAAACCCTGTGCTGATCTCTTGGAGGTGTTAAAGCAGAATGGTCTATTCCTACTCCTCTGCASTCATTCAAGAGTGCCTCTAGGGGTGTGTCACTTTCCTAGGAAGGCAAAGAGATTTATGCAGATTTTGAGGTGGAACTTACAGCCTTTSCCCCGTAATCTCTTGTATGTCATCTAGACTGCATCAGTCTGAGAGTGCACCAACCAAATTGCTCATGTCAGGGCTAAGAGGGCTCCTTGAGTGGAGCACTGCMTTCCCACTTCCTGAGAGATGACATGCAGCTGCTGGAGTGCCGAGGGGCACAGTGCCCAATGCCCATCTCTGCCCCTTCRCAGCAGGAAGGGACTGCTCCACTCCACGGGGATGGTGGGAGGAGGGGCAGCTCTTCCTGTGAGCAGCATCTAAGCCTTGCCTAAAGGGAATTGGAGGGTATAAGAACGTGTTCTTAACAAGGAACTTAGAGTCTCAGAGCCCCGCTGCTGTAGTGCCTATATAATATTTCCTAAAATTAATGTAAATATCTAATTATCTAGATAATGTTTCTTTAGGTCAGACAATTTTTCACCTAATGGTACCTCCTTTCACCATAGAATACATGCCCACATCTCCTTTCCCTTGTGGCCACAGGTTTTAACTGAACAGATGCTACTAAGTTGCTAGCAGTAATACACCTAAATAATAAATTCAAGTAATGATGTGTAGTTCAGATCGGGATTTTTCCTCTATTTTCATCAAAATTAAAGATTTCTCCATGTGTGGTAAACTATGCTTGGTTTGCATTTCCCCATAGCCATGCTGTCAGTGTTGCAGTATACCTGACATTGTAATGAGGGAACAAGACTGGAAAACAGAGGTAACTTTCTGCATGAAAACTTTAAAAGACATCATATGCAAATAGGGTAGTACACAGACATGAAATACGGACATTTCAGTCTAGTTGCGTAGAATCTAAGGCTTTTTGGACCTTCATTCTTAAGATTAATAATTCCAGAGGAAATCTGGGGGCAGGTGGGTATATTTGTATTTCCTGTCATGGATGAAACCAGATATAGAGATGGGATAGGAGAAGATGCAGGAACTCATCTTGAGACAATTGAGCAGAAATATTTTTAATGGGTGTCAGGGAAGCTGTGACAGTGCCTTAACAGATGGTGATTGTTAAACAGGGACTGAAGGTGGAGAGGGAAAAATATCCATTAATGGGTTTATGACACCTGTATGGCCAGAAAGAGTTAGGACAAGAAAGRTGACAAGAAACAGCTGTTTTTTGCATGTAATGAAGGACCTCAGGGAGRACATTTCAGTAATCAGGGATGGAGATAGAAAGTGGCAGGGTGGGAAGTTTAGCTGTGTGGGCAAAGAGGGGAAAATGGTATTTCAATATCCAATTGCTAGGGGAGGGAATGAATCCGAATATTTCCTAGGATTAGGGAGCCAGCCATTCAGATTTAATTTACTTGGAGCAGGATTTAAACAGTGCAGATGGAGATGCTTTAGAAGAGCCTGAGGTGGTCCCTAGAGAATGGATAGTCATGAGAGAATTTATGAAATCTTCACATTTTTCTATCAATGCTTTATTAAAATCTCAATTCTGAAAAATGTTGATTGGTACTAACAGCCTGATGGAAGCAGTGAGGCTTGCATATGGGTGGAATATG